ACTTTGAGTTCAATACGTAGTTATTAATTTAAGATATAATCAAATCATTGATTAATAAAGGATTGATAATTTTAGTTGCACAATTGTCTGTTTTTTTTGTCTTTCTCAAAAACTCCACTGGAGCTTACTTCAATAAATAAGATTGAATATACGCTTTAGCTTCCACGTGTGAGGTATTTAAGAATGGGATACAAAGTTTCCGTATTATGTTAGGTATCAGCGTATCCACTGACTCTATTGTTTTCATTTGTTTTCATTACAGTCTGATTGTCGATATGTGCTACTGCAGATGCAGTGCACTTTCTGATAACATATTCACCATATCCTCTTTATATCAGATTTGTGATTGTTTGCCATCTGTTGGATAGAGAAGTCCGGCTAAACGTTTAATAGCAATGTAATTATTGTGAAGCATGTTGGATTGTTTGGCTTATTCCATAATCCATTTTCTTCTCCATGATGTGCTGCGCTTGAGAATTCAAGAACTTGTTTACTTTCTTAGCTTTTTTACAAACAAGATTTTTCAGTTTCATTTGATTGATTGTCTAATTTTGGTTGCAGAACTTTTATATGGTAGGAAGGGACAAAAGTAGAACATTCTGGAAGATTTTGAAAATTGACAGGTTGGAACAGTCAGAGCTTAACATTCGTGAAGATTCTACCACATATACTGCAAGGGAGTGCTCTGATCTACTGAGAAGGATACATGAAGGGAACAGGGGAACAGGAGGACTAAAATTTGTTACTACTTGTTATGGCATTGTTGGTGTGTAGATCATTAATTCTTTCTTAATTTGGGAGGGGGGCTTTTAATATGTCTAACCTCATTCTCTTTCCTTTCTTTTGTCAGGATTCATTAAATTTCTAGGGCCTTATTACATGTTGCTCATTACAAAGAGGAGGCAGATTGGTGCAATCTGTGGTCACAATGTATATGCTATCTCCAAAAGTGAGATAATTCCCCTGCCAAATTCAGCAGTTAGATCCAGCATGGTTGACTATAAGAAGGAGGACAGGTTATAGCCTTTCTGCTTGTTCAACGTGTCATTTTTTGAGTTTGGAGGAAAGATATTGCACCACTATTTTGTCTTTTCTTATTTTCAGGGTCAGCTTTTATTAAAATGTTCTAACAATATTGGGATGAGAGGTCTATTAATCATTTCTATCTCGTTTTGTTTTAGAATGAATATTATTATGTTGGGTCTTTTCCGTTCAAGGGGGGTTCATGTAGTTCCATGAAGACTTCATGTAGAAATGACTATTTGGTCTATTTACAGTACTTATGCCACAAAAGTTAACGAATTAAAACGAATCTGCCTTGTACATATTCAACTTGATAGTTTTCTATCAGATAATGACTTTGTCTGGTCAAACTACATGTATTCCTGGTCAAGTAAGTTGGATAATGACTTTATCTGGTTAAACTTTATTTTCTATCAGATAATTGTGTCTGGGAAGACATTGCTGATTTGATAGTTTTAGCAGACCGTCAATGGGTTTGGAATCGAAATATGAGTGGTACATCTGTAAGTAAAAGAAAGTGTGTTGGTGTGTGTGTGGGGGGGTTGGGGATGGGGTGGGGTAGGCGTGATCTCTCATACTTACGTCACTCATGAGTCTATTTATTGATCTCGAACACTTGCCTACTTTTCATAAAACCTGGAAATAAAGACTGAAGAAACTAAAAAAAAAAGGTTAGCTGCTATACAGTCCCCAATCTCTATATGTTCATATTTTTGATGTGTTGACAATATGTTGATATCTCTAGACTAAGATGTAGGTCTTATAAGCTCATTCAAAATAGTTAGGAGTTCGTTTTTTTTCCTTTTCTTTTTAAGACAAAATCAACATCTATTAAGGTCTATCTCGTTTTATCAAAACACTAGCTTATTTTAAAAATAAGATCTAGCATCTTGTAACTCACAATGGATTAGTAAGATGTATCTAATAAGCTTCGTCAACACCTAAAAAAGAAGAATGTCAGTGAACGGTTGATAAAATTTCATTCCTTGAACTGTCAGGTTAATATTTAGTTTGATGCATCCGGGAAAATGTCGTTACAACACGAAACAACTTTTATAACCAGCATATAGACAGGCCAAAAAAGAAGAATATTAGTGAATGCTTGATAAAATTTCAGTTCATTCAAATGTGCCATTTAAAGTTTTGTTTGATTCATGTGGGGAAATAATGTTACAGCACAAAACTCCTCTTATAACTAATATGTACTATTACATCTTCCTGTGATCATATTGCTGAAATGCATAATGTGGATGGATTATTTCCATTTCTAGTTGTGTAGATTGAGGAAACCTTCATGCTTTCAAGTTTTTCTCGTTCTTATATATTTTATAACAACTAACTTTTCTTATGCTTAGCTGATGTGAACACGGTAGTTTCGTTATATGTCATTTTTTCTTTGCTATTTTTATTTTTCAATCTGCGTTTTAGAATTTTTTTGCTTGGATGTATTATGAACTATTACCATTTGTTTGTCAATAGATACAAGAAGCTCTTGTGCATGGTGGATCTTACAAAGGACTTCTACTTTAGTTACTCCTACCATGTGATGAGAAGTCTCCAGAGAAACATGTCTGAGAACGAGACAGGGCAAGTCTTGTACGAGACTATGTTTGTCTGGAATGAGTTTCTTACTCGCGGAATACGAAACATTCTTCAAAATACTATATGGACCGTCGCTTTGGTCTATGGATTTTTTAAGCAGGTGAGGTTGCTATATTTAGAGGCCTAATGTTTGGACGTTTATCCATTCATGAAGATATCAATTCTAGTTGTTCCATGTCTTATTAATGCTATGATTTGTCATATTGCTAGTTGCGAGTGTTAAGAATCTCATCTTGATTTCTTTATCTTGATGAATCCAGGCTAAACTTTCTATATCAGGAAAGGATCTCAAGCTGACTCTAATTGCTAGGCGTTCACGACATTATGCTGGTACCAGGTAAGCGCAATTGTAAATGTGGCAAAAAATAGTAAATGTTACTTATCAGATTAACTACTATTTTTTTTAGCTGGTGATTTATTTTACAAATACGTTGATTGTATGCTTGATGCATCTTTTGTGGGACCAATTGTGATACATCATAGACACCCAACATGGAACACAGAATATTTTTGAAATTTTAAGAGACAACACGTCTCTGACTTTCAGCTATTCTTCCTACTATAATTTTATTTATCGCATATTCATCTTGATACAACTCAAAATAGGATCCATTCTTTAAAATCAAATTCATTTTTGCCCAAAACATCATCACCTTAAAGTAATGGTGTGACATGAATAACTCTTAACGGCTATTCCTGAGCCAAGGTTCTATCCTTTTTTAGCTGAATGTGAGAAGTAATTTTGGATTAGGTAGAGTGTACATCGTATATATTCTTTCTTTCTTAAATGCACGACTCATATTTCCTCTTTGGGATTTCCGAAATAAACCTCAATTTCCAAATATAGGAACAAAAATGTCAACTGCGTAATATAAATGCAATATTTAAAGTCGACAACTGGTTTCTTTTTGCCATTCAAACGCATTACTTGTTAGTACTTTGTTGCGTAACTCAGCGCGCTATCTTCCTTTCATTTTTTATTTTTTTGTCATCGTTAACGTGGTTGTTTCATTCCGTTCATTTTCTTTTATTGTCTGTTTGTATTTTAAACTTGTCAGTGGAGAGTTTTTGGATCGTTTTTTTTTTCTCATTCTTTTATGCCATGGATGCAAAGCTCAAAAATCTATTAATGTAGGTATCTGAAACGAGGTGTCAATGAGACGGGCAGAGTGGCAAATGATGTTGAGACTGAACAGATTTTGGTTGAGGATGTTTCTGAAGGACTACCCATGCAAATTAGTTCTGTGGTCCAAAATCGTGGTTCAATACCACTGTTCTGGTCACAGGAGACCTCCCGCCTAAATATTAAGCCAGATATCATATGTACGTTTGAGCATTACATAAGTTATATTTTTTCTGTTTCTGCCAAAAGATTTTCTATTCATCTGAGTCTTGAGTTTGTATTTCTGCTTTCCAGTGTCAAGGAGAGACCAAACATATGAGGCTACCAGACTTCATTTTGAAAATCTTGCCAGTAGATATGGGAATCCTATTATTATATTAAATTTGATTAAGGTAAGAGAATTTTACAATTTTAGCTTTTGCATTCTAGTGTTTTAGCTGAAATAGATGACTTTTATTGGGTTTTTTTCTTCTTTTACACACACACACACACACACACACACACACACACACACACACACACACACACACACACACACACACACACATATATATATATATATATATATATATATATATATATATATATATATATATATATATATATATTAAGAAGCTTAAACCATAGTGACAAGGATGACCATAATCAAGTAAAAAGGTTTTTTGAGCTTGTTATCCTAAAACTTCTCAACCAATTATGTAATCCACCAGAATTTTTTTTTTCCATCAACAGACAAATGAAAAGAAGCCTCGAGAATCCATTCTACGTGCGGAGTTCGCTAATGCTATTGAAGTTATCAATAAAGATCTATCTGAAGAGAACCGGCTTAAATTTCTTCACTGGGATTTGCATAAACATTCTCGCAGGTATGTGACATTTATCTTCTATACTACCTGATTATTTTTGCAAAAGATCTGATTTATGTTTATTACCTCTCCCTGATTTTCATCAGTAAAGCTACAAATGTTTTACTACAATTGAGAAAGGTGGCTGCATACGCTTTGACGCTGACAGAGTTCTTCTATTATCAAGCCACACCCGAGATGCTATCAGAGGGGCATCTTAAATGGCCCAGTTTTGAGTGAGTCCCTTATTCCATATCGAATATAATTGAAACTGTTTTCTTTGACGATTATTTTATGCTTAGCAATGAAGTGCACATTTTATTGGAATGTTGTAACAACAATAATCTAGGATGTCTTCTGTTGGGGCTTATGGATTCTTTACACTTGTGATTTTCGGCATGGGAGACATTTTTTTGGGCAGTTTTGGATTTAAATACTCTTATAAAATGATGATGGAATGCTACATTTAGAATGGTCGGGATAGCTTAGCTGGTGGCTCTATTTTTGTTACAACAGCATTGATCAATAGAAAAACCAAATGAATTTTTTTTTCACTAAGCACTTCTAGTGGAGGTACTGTGGCCAAAACTATGTCTACGATGTTCTGCTTGTTTTTCTGTAATTTAACATCCTCACAGTTTTGGATGGAAACTAATGTCTTGATTGTTTCAAGTATGCTGTAAAGAAAAGTACATGTCCAAACACGGTGAATGGAATAATTGCAGTAACCACTAACAAAGAAGACATGTATTGTGTTATTATGAACGTGTATATATATACTAAAATGGAGTTTTTACTGCTTCTGGGCACAGGAATTTTGTTGTTCCTGGCATATCCACCTCAACATCTTCTCGCACTGAAAGTGAGAAGCATAATGATGACGAGACTGAGGATTCAGATAACTCAGATAGAAAATTTAGTGGAGGCAATAGCATCGGTATCACTAATCCTTCTGTTAAGCCACTAAAGATCCAAAAGGGAGTGCTTCGGACTAATTGCATAGATTGTTTGGATCGGACTAATGTTGCGCAATATGCATATGGTTTGTCTGCTTTAGGGCATCAGCTTTGTGCCTTAGGAGTAACAACCTCGGAGAAGATGGACCTTGATGATCCTTTGGCTGAGGAGTTGATGGGCTTTTATGAGAGAATGGGTGATACTCTTGCACACCAGTATGGTGGATCTGCTGCTCACAACAAGGTAGCTAATGTGTTATTATGTTCTATATTTTCGATATGCAATAAAACCTTTACAATTTGATAAACCTGGGGCTGCAATTTTTTTTATTAATTTAACTGAATATTAAATAATCAATGAATTAAAAAAATTATAGGAACCGTTAGATGAATTATGATATATATCATCCTATTTTATCATTTAAATAGTTAGATGGAGGTATACCACACATGTTCTCTTTATAATGCGAGTTTTGGTATAAAGGTTGAATGCAGAAACAACTTTTTGACTTATCCCAATGCCAAATCTTGTTTTTCTCCTAAAAAAAATGTCGAAGTACAGAGTATATTGATTTATACATTTATATAAGTATCTAAATTTCTATATAGTCTAGTGATCAGGCTTATTATGATAGTTAAAGGAGGGGTACTTATGTAGCCATTTTTTGTTTTCAGTTAGGACTTGATAATGCATCTATTGACATTTTTGATTTTTTTTTAATTAATTATAGATATTTTCTGAGAGAAGAGGCCAGTGGAAAGCAGCAACACAGTCCCAAGAATTTTTTCGTACTCTGCAGAGATATTACAGCAATGCTTACATGGACACCCAGAAACAAAATGCGATTAATGTGTGAGTTGGTATTCCCCACAAGTTTAGATACACCTTGAGATTTTATGTATCTATTAAGATTATATACATAGGCAAGATCAATTTGGAAGATTTCTCTCTAACAGGGTAGATAGTCTACCCACCCCCCGCCGTGCTTATTGTATTGCTATTTTGGTTGTACTCCAAAATTTCACTTTATTTAACTGATTTGCATGAGCATATATGTGCAGATTCTTAGGGCATTTTCAACCTCAACCAGATAAACCCGACATCTGGGAGCTTGACCCATACGAGCATTACAACGTCGGAAGAAATGGACAATCAATTCTTGATGACAATGGAAGGTATAGTTAATAATGATAATACTATGCATCTGCTAGAATACTGAACACCAGCATACATTTTGGTAGGTGTTCACTTTTTTTCAGTTCAGTTACTGAAAATTTATCTAGGACTATTGACATCAGACTGGATGGATGTACCTAGTTGTAGTCAATGGCAGACTATCCCCTTATTCAACAGGAAGCACACAACCGTTTCATGGATTCTATTACACAGATAAATTCTCACCATTCCCAAACATAGGATAATGACATGTTACAGTGTCATGAACAGTGTAATCCTAACCATCCAATCAATTCCTCCAAAAACATTCCCAAACCAGGCCAAACAGCATAGAAAAAGTTGATGCAAAAAAAAAAAAAAAAAGAAAAAAAGCAAGAGTGGGGGAGAATATTTTGTATTCCGAGTCTCTTGTCTCCTCTTTGGTGGCCCCCTCTTGCTTCATCCATATACAGTTTACGCTTTTCTCCCTTCACATAAAGCTAATTAAGATGAACTATCCATTGGATTAAACATATTAACTACATTTTATGTAATTATTTTAGTATGGCAGGTGTTTTTGTCTAATACAATATTGGTTAGTGGGTACTATAAAAATGAACCATAGGACGTTCACGGGGGTAACCACATTTGATCTGGTTCTTCGTGTTAATATTGCATGCTTTAGTTTCATCTCATTTTGTTGATTGGCGTATGATTCATTTAGCATGGGTTGTTGTGAGTCAGTGGGCTTGACATCACTAGGGAGTAAGGAGTGATGTATGTATCTTTGAACCACATGGTCCGAAACCAAAAACCACAAGAGGGTGATTTGCTAATTAACCAAATAATTTAACCTTCCAATATCTACTTAGCAAATTTTCTTATGGAGGTGTAAATAATTTCATTATCATATATGATGTGCTGCTGGCAAGTTCGATTTAGCACTCACACTATTGGCTTGCATGTTTAGGTCGTTTTTCAAAAGATCATGGTCAGATGGGAACATTCTTCGTGAAAGTCACTCACCCACATCTAAGCCAAAAGTCAATAAAGCTTTTCCCAGTGCTGATTTTTCTAATGAGTCTAAACAAGGAAGCAGAATTATTTCCGAGTCAACACCATCAATACCTACTTCAGAAAGCGAGTTGGCAAGTTCAAGGTGCTTATTTTCTAATGATATGAAGCTTTATTTAGTTTACTACAAGTCCAATAAGTTTTGCAATTACCGGGACACTACAAAGATTAATTCATGTAATATGATGCAGTAATACTAAAGACATTTTTGTTTGATTGGAGGGAAACGGGGGATACTTGGGTTAAATGTTTCCTCTTTTTGGTTCGTAGAGAAGATGAAAATTGAGTGAATAAGGTTTCAAAATGCAAGTGATTATGAATCGTAGGTTGAATGGTTAACATATACGCCGGACCCTCCCCTCCTATACCGAGCTTTGGGTTGGATAGGGTCTTTTGTGAAAATGAAAACTGTGGATATGGCCAAGTCCTGCCCATCTACCTTCTATGAATTAGATGAATATTTTCTGTTTTTACCACTTTTTGAAGTCTAATTATGAAAATGAGGAGGTTTTCTACCCCATCATATACCAACAGACTGAGAGCCTCTTGAAATTCAGGTTGATTTAGTTTCAATATTTCACTGCTTGAAAAGTTTGTGCAGCTTAGCGGGAATCAATAGAAGTCCACTCCGACATATCGTTATTGTTACGCTTCTGAGTAGGCATATAAATGATTATCTTCTCCCCTACAGAGCCCTTTTGAGTCTGATTCAAATTTTGATATTAAGACGGTTTCTGTGGTGATGGACTTTAGTCCCCTAACATGGAGGATTGTGTCCGTTTCCTTTTCATTTTTTCCCCAGCCCGCTTCTGTTGTTATTTTAACCTGAATATCACCCAAATGTATTTTTTCCGCATTTGCTACAATATATACATATCAATATATGTAGGTCCTTCACGTTTGAAGATAGCAAAATGTCATCTGAAGGATTTTGTGCATCAACTGGTTTTTAAGGACTCCCTTTAGTAATAAAGGAGTTATTCCTTTGTCTTATCTGTCTTGCCTTTCCTTTCTGCAGATGTAATCCAGTGTCCTCTGGGGATCTTTTTGCGGAAATGCGGAGAGTTAGATACCTCGAAACTGAAAATGGGGATGTAGTTAACTGTTCAAACTTCGTTGACTGCTCAAACTTCGTTGACCTAGATTGGCTCTCTTCCGCTGGAAATTCTTGCGAAGACGAGCTGTTGGATAGGTAATTTCTCTGCCTGGTGTTACTTACATTAATTTATTAAGGTGAACCAAATAAACTCTTTACCGGTTAAGAAGGTTCTGATGCTTAAATTACAGATAATAGCAGATCTAGACCACAACTGATGCTCTTTCTGCTTGGAAATATTTATTCCTCAACCAGTAATCCCTCTGATTCATATGCTTTAGAAAATATGTATAGAGTATTTACTCCTGGAGCATGTTTAAGTTTCTACTTTGAGATATCGACCTGTAATGTTATGTAATTCTACAGCAGTAATTGTAGAAAATATATATATTTTTGTATAGTTTATGTAACCGTCTTTGAATTGTATAAACTAACTGCTGGGAAATTTATGTGGGTCTTTGCAATAGATTCTAGTCAAGCAACTCTGGGATCTTTAGAATGAGATTAATTATGGGTACTAGGGGCAACTGGGGATTAAGTTGAATATTTGGAAGGTTTAGTTTTCAGAGAAGCTAAATCTGTGTATTAATTTTCATGGCCAGGTCTATGCTGACAATCTCTCCAACTGCTATGCTCTCGTCTGAAAATGTCGTCAACGAACTGGCTGGGGAAACAACACCATCCACCAGTGAATGTGGATCTAGCTCAAGGGTAAGCTCATTTTTCTGTTCATCCGTTTGATACTAAAACTGCAAAATTAAGTGCTCACCGAAAGCAAGCATACATGTGAAAAACGTTTATTTATCAAAAAGTTGCACTCCTTATTCACATAATCACTTCTATTGAACTGTTATTTATTACGAAGTTATGCATTGAATTTTGTTGGTCCAAATTTTAGTAGCTATTCCCTTTCTACTGTCTCACGTAATAATAACGAATGATGAGTATAAGAAAATGTAGCATTTGCTGTATAAGTGCTTCCCAAAGTGCTATTTCGTAACTGCATATAGTTTAAAAAAAGAACAAACTTGTATGCTCATACATTCTTTGTTCTTGTTCTATATATATATATATGTATATATATATATGTAGGGAAGGGAGGCCACTGGAACTGACATGGGCTATGGTGAATCCCCAAATTACGAAGTTCTTGAAGATTTCTCAGATAGTTTTGTGCGATGGGTGACATATGGTGAAACAATCTGTCATTGAGGAAATTTATCATCGTCTCCGAAAACTTTCTATCATTGGACTTCAGATCCTCTTTATGGCCCCGTTTAGGGAAATGTGGCCGTTGATAAAGATAAGTGTACCAGCATTTTAGGGCAACCTCGTTTCTGTCATATGATTCGCAACAGTTCTACCGTAGAAGCCTCGGTCAAGCCATGATAACGTAGCTTTTAATGAGTAAATAGACTACAGTTTTATGATTCTTTATGGAGGTCGTATTTTCCTTTCCCAGTTTCTTCCCTTTTTTTTTTCGTTTTTGTTTTTTACTTTCACTGTTTGGAAAATTTAGCCGTTTTAAAATTTCTGTGTCACCTAGTTGATGGATGCGATGGGGGTCCGATATGTGTATATATATATAAACAACTCCAGGAGCTCCAGGCTTGTAGCTCTAGGCATTGATTCTTTACATTTGTTTGTGTTTTTCTTTTTCACTTTCAACTTCACCAGAACAATTATGGTTTGCCAATAAGTTTCTGAATATTAAATATTAGTGTTATATGTGACGTTATATCTTTTTGCATTTTGAGAGTAAAAAATCGTTTGATTGCGGATATTCTCAGTTTTAGATTCCTGAATTCTTCTTTGTTGGTATTTTGGTATTACTGTTTCATTTTCTTAATGTTGCTGTTGACGTACTGCACTGTGTAAAATGCTTCACAACTATAATGAATGCTTTTGGAATAATTAAATAAACTATATTTTAGGAGTGAGGTAGACAGAAGTCTGAAAAGGTTTACCATGCATTTACCAGACAAGATGTTAATGTTAAATTAAACTAAATTTTGCTCGCCAACATTCTTGAGAAGGGAAAAAAACTCGAAAGAAATGTCAAAATTAAATTTAATTCCATCATTTGTTGAATAATTTATATTTAAAATTTTAAACTCTCGAGTAGAGGTCAGCCGAGAATAGGAAGGATGCGAGTGATGTTCTCAAAAGCAATGCCATCAGATGCACTTTTCTTAAGCTCAGGATGGTTGAATTCAGTAGGAGGGAGAATGATAAGTTGACCCTTGGTCTGACTCTTCTCTATAGCCCAACCAGAGTTAGCAACGTGGTGCTCAACGAACTTGTCCAAAGCCGGGCCTTCAATGTTTATGGACTGTGAAACAAATCCACTCAATCAGACACTTCAAAAGTGTTGTTCACATTTAACTCAAAAAGAAAAGTATGAAATTTCTCCAAGGCAACTAAAGTTGTGAAAAGAGTTTTTAAAATTGGCACAAACTACCAGGGAGAGCAACATACCTCAGCAAGAACAGACCTTGCAACTTTTTGGTAAGTCAATGAAAGGACATGAACTGCATATGCCTGAATTGCTTGCTCGAAACCTGATTAAGCCACACATATATTCGTTAGCTTTTCGGACAAAAGTAAAGATTAATCAAGTTTGGGATGTATGCAGGATTTAGGCTTATTTTAACATATACCTTAAAGTACTATTACTAAATGCGCTTATCACGCATATATACTTCACTAACTTGGCAAGTAACAATTTCCTAAAGCAATCGCTTGATTAGACAGCTTCCTATGTGTTCATTCAGCCTCTTATGGAAGTTCCGAGTGAATGAGCATATAAATGTGGTACCAGACACTAAGGAAGAATATTCAGAATAACTTTTTCGTACAACACTCTACCCTATCTTCGTTCCTTCTATGAACAAATATGTTGCAAATCTTTAATACCGATTATGATAAAATTTCTGCATAATACGTTTTTTTGTGTAACAAACGCGCGCACATGAAAAAGCATACATGCAAGAACATAAAAATCGAAATCCTTTATTGTGGTAAGAAACAGATACAAAAAAAAGAAAAAAAGAAACTACGGCAAAATTGTACATACCTGGCACAACTTCTAATATGTGACGGCTCTTAGCAGCTTCATCCCAAAACTGACGGAATCTGGCAGTCTGTACATAAGACAAAAGCATAAACAATGATATCTTCTTCATATTCATATGCCAGTTAAGATATTGTACCAAGAGGAACTGTGTTTCATAGTGTCAAAGCAGGAGAGAGAGGACACTAAACATACCTCCAAGTAGTGCGAGAGAACAATGAGAGTCTTGAACTGTTCCTCCATTTGCTGATGGTTGCAATGATAGAGAAGTGATTAGCAATAAGAATATTTAAGAAGTCTAAACTGTCAGCAAAGAAACCTAAAAATGACATGAAAATCTCACAACATTGGTGACCTAAACTCGAGAAAGTGCACGTCTACGTTAATGGTGCGAGGAATAATAGATGTAGGGTAAAAAAAATTATCTAACCACATGCGTATCTTCTGCCAGCAAAAGAAGACATGCCCTTCATTTACAAAGTACATAATATCTGAATCATAATCATAAGCCCCTTAGTTATTCATCCACAGTCAAAACATGTGCATGATCAATCTACAGCAGAATACCTAGGTTCCTGGTTCATAAATAAAAAAGATTATCTAGCACTCTGAGAGGGTCAACACTTGAAATTTCTCTGAAAAGGGAACAGTCTAGAAATGAACCGTGTTTGACAGTACATGGCAATAGTAATTGACCAAGGCTTCATCTATATCAAGGCAAGAAGAAATATATGTTTCAAGAGTATTATCAGTCACGGGCACAGTCAGACACGGGAACATACTAAATCTCTAAACACCAACCAAATAATCACAAATAATGTTTTGGAAGAATACAATCAGTAAGGTTCAAAGTGGAAATCGTGAAATACCATTTCGATTATGAAAATTTATTTCCTAGTTCCCAATCCAAGCTGTAACAATAATTACAGCATTTTCCCATTTATATTTACCATTGACTATTCGGTAAAGTGCTCATGTCTTCACTTCCAAACATTACAACATATTGCTGCATGATACTTTACAACAAGAGAAAATGAAGCAGTTTTTTACAACATATTCCTGTGTAATCCAAAAAAACATGCTTGCTAATAGATTCGATTCACGAAAGGCAAAAAATTAAAAGCAATTATCGTTAAGATTAAAAAAAGATATAGTAGGATACCACTCTTTCAGGGATTAGGAAGAGGCACAGGCTGAAATCAGGAGCCGGTATTGCCATCAGAGCCTGAAGAAAGTAATAATAATACACATACAAGTAAGAACTTTACAATCTATTGAAAAAAGCAACAGAACAAAATAGAACAGAGGAAAGGAGGACTTTTTCTGTTTGAGTACCTTGATCAAAATTCGAGCCACAATCTTAGTGCTCATTCTGTCTGGCTCAACCTGCATTGTTTTTATTTTAATTATAAAAAAAAAATTAAAAAAAAAACATATACAATTCTACGGCCCCTAACCAAATATATCAATTCAGCAAGAAAATAAATAAATCAATTACTTGGTAGAGACGCAGGAGGCAAAGATTTGCATTCAAACTGTAGGTTTGTGTTGATACCTAATAAAATTACAGCAACAAATCAACACAGACAAAACGTCAATTATTCACTTTTACCGACAAAAAACTAAAATAAAATAAAATAAAAACGATTAACAAAAATTATCTCTGACAAAAACCAAAACATAAAATTAAGCATATCATTATGTAGGTGAATAGAAGCGATGGGTACTTGTTCGTTGACGTAGTTCTCGAGATCGGGGAGGATGTCTGGGTTGTAAGGATTGACGGCGACGAGCTGCTCCACCGTGTACGACGTCGTCGACTGCTGCTTCTGATTCGCCGCCGCCGCGGAATTGGTAATCTCTCTTCCCATCTTTTCAATTTTGTGCGGCACTCAAAATACACTGCTCCGATGAACTGTAGACGATGGGAATTGGGATATTGAGGGAGAAGCTCTGTTGAGTTTTTAGGGCTTCAGGTTTAGTGGGAATCCCCTGTTAAATTACCAATATACCCACGATTTGATGTGAATAATATAGTGTTACATAAAATAACCTTTTAGAAAAATTAAAGAAGTTATTTAAAGGCAGCGACTATTTGCAAGACGAAAATTACTTAGTGCAAGACCAAATTAATTTTTTTTATTAAATTCAGTATAAAAAGACTATAATAACCTTAATAAAATACAAACAAAATAAAATTATTTTATTAATTTCCTTTTGCAAGACCAGTTTAAAAAAGAAAAATTAATAAAAAAAGAAAGAAAAAAGAAATTGAATTGAGAATTGAAAAACGAGGAGGGAAGAAGGGAAGAAGAAAACAAGAAAATCAATTGCAGCACTCAACCGTCGCCCCATCGCTCCGTCGCCGTCGCCGTCGCCGTTGAAGTCCACCACCTCCCCGTCGCCGTTGAAGTCCGTTGTTGCCCCAACCCCGCCACAATAATCTCACGAAAAACAAGGAAATTACTTTTTGAATTAATTTTTTTTGAGAAATAAATGTGATAAACATGATTTTATTGTTAGAATAATGAATTCAAGTCATTTTAGAACATAATTAATGATTCTAGGGTTCGATTGTAGCACTATTGTTGAAGGAGTTGCGGTTTTACAAAAAACGACCTGTACTTGTCGATTTTTTGGAAATTTTTCGACATACTGGTGTCGATTTTTGAAAATTCGACACACCAGCGTCGAAAATTTCAATATAATTCGACACCAGAATGTCGAAATTTTCAATATAATTCGACACCAGAATGTCGAAAATTTCAATATAATTCGACAGTTAAGGAGTGTCGAATTATGTTGAAATTTTCGACACTACTGTGTCGATATTAAGCGGATATTTCGACCTGTACATGTCGAATTTTTGATACGTGAAATGAGGTGCGAAAAACGAGAAAAACGATCACAAAGTACAATATTTATTACCTCTTTGTGTTCTTCGACCTTAGAATCCTCCATATTTATGTCTTGTGTATCCATAATGTCCTTCTTTTCAAGTTTTAGTAAAGATTTGAGGGTTTTATGTGATAAGGATTTTGGAGAATATGGAAGATTTTTTGTGGAAAAAAATGTGTAAAATGAGGGTGAAGAAGAAGATGTTGGTAAAAATTTTTTGTATTTTTTTTTTGGTCTTGCAATAGCAATTAGGTTAATTTAAATTAATAATATCTAAATTATTATTGGGGTTATATTTGTAATTTCCAGTCTTGATCTTAGTAAATTTATTTATATTTTGGTCTTGCATGAAGTAAGGTCTTACACTTAGTAATTTTCGTCTTGCAAATATTCGTTGCCTATTTAAACGAGCGTATTTTTTAGATTATTTTTTTGCAATTCTTTTTGTTTAAATAAAATACCTCATCTTTTAATTGATTTAGGAGAGTTTGGATATATTATTATTCACATTATTGTGATTTTCTCACCTCAATGGAAACACGTTGAATTGAAAATGTTTTAGCTTGTAAATCATTTTTGGCTAGTTTTTACTTTTTATATATTAGACAGTTCATAGTAGTACACTTTGGACACTGTACTCACCTCTTTTAAGTTTCGGTTAGCTAACTAGCTCCTCGACTCATGCGAAATTGGCAGAAGAAAATATGTCAAAGTAGGAAGAAATTATTGGCCAGTGCGTTTAAGTAATTGAGAAGATAAAAGAAAAAAACATGTTTGAGAAGATGTTGAGCATGCCTTTTTTTTTTTTTTTATAAATTGTAATTATGGGAAAGATTTGAACATGTTTGAGAACTATTATTATATATTGGGAGAATGAATAAAGGGTGTTTGGTCACATGTTTAGATAAAACAGAGAAGAAAACAAAAAATACAAAACCGTTCAATGAAGTGTGCATTCCAGACATTTCGGGTGAGTATGGTGTTAACTGGAAGTGAAACTTAAAACGAGAGAGTACAGTATCGAAAGTACAATATTTGGTGGACTGGTTAGTATATAAAATTAGGTAAAAGAAATTAACGAGCTAAAACCCGTAAATCGAACGGTGATGGTGAAAAAAGAAAAAGATAGGACTAATTGGGAATTGGGCCGAATTGGCCCAGACAGGACCATTAGAAGAACTAGCTTAATCAGCCCATTATGTAACTGTGGAGTTTGCCTTGTAAACATGAAGAATTGGATTGAAATTAAATAAATCTAATTATACGTGTAAAGAAAATAAAATATCGGATAATTTACACAATAAAAAAAAATAGTGGATTTTGAGACAAATTTCTATTAACAATAGGGGTTTTAATGTTTTATGCATGGAAGTTAATCTCGCGATATACCGCGATATATATCGCGATACGGTATGGTTCCAATCAAAACGATACAATTCGGGTTTTGTATGGCTTATTGATAAATACCGTCAAATATCGCGAGATATCGTAACGTATAGCCGTATCACGACATGATACGATATTTGCGATATTAGTCGACAATTAAAAAAAAAGAAAAAAAAACGAAAAAAAAAGAAACGCAACCAACTGCTCTGAAAAACGGTTTTGAATAAATTTCTTCAATATCCCAATCCTATTTCACAGTTTTCTCTTCAAATTTCTTCACCAATCCTCATAATATCGGAACCCTATATTTCTATGGATTCTTATAATTCAAGACCAATTCAACGCTTTTTTTTTTTTACTGGGTTTTGCAATTGATGATGATGAATCGTTTAAAATCGGTAGATGATGAAGATTTAAGTGACATTGATCTTCAAAATTATGAGATATCGAATATTTTATAAATTAGGTATTCGAATTTGAACTTAGGGCCCATTTGGCTAAACTTCTTTTGAACAGCTGATAAGCTCTTACATTTGATAAGCTGTTTTAAGAGCTGATAAGTTGTTACATCTTACTTTTAGAATTATTTTTTTCATGTGTTTGGATAATGATCTTACAAGTTATATTTACTCATTATAAGATCTTAAATAAATAGATAGGGTAAAGGTGCTTTTAAAAAAAAAATTATTTGCTCTCCAGCGGCTTATAATATTTTGAATTTTTATAATATTTAAAAAAAAAATATACCTTTCGTTTGAGTAAATTCAAGTCCATTACAAGGGGAAGTAGAAGAGGGGGAGAATCGAACCCTAGACCTTTACACTATTAGTAAAGGCTAGGTACACTGGAATAGCTTATAAGCTCTTAAACATCTTCTTAGATGATGTTATTTGATGAACAATTATGATTTTTGTCATCTTATATATAAAAGAAAGAAACGCAAGAGCAACCGTAATAAACCCTAATGTCATATTTGTATATATATTTTATTTATTATTTTTCATTTTTATCTCTTAAATATTATTTTAAATATTATTTTAGATTTTTATCCCCGAACTAGCCATGAATATATCTAATGCACAATCAATTAAATCTCCCAAGTTTTATTTTTTGATGATAAAATACAAATTATCATATTCCCAAAGACAGACGATTCCCAAAGACTTAATTCCGACTCTCAACAGTTTCAACTTTTCTCTTCCACTTCAACAAGTTTGTGTTTTGTCTTCTTATTTATATCCAACCTCTCAGCTTCTCCACCCCAGGTTTATCTCTCACCGTTTCTACCAAATGTTTGTGGCTTCATAAAAGGTTACATATTTTGCAATTTGTTTTCTCTTCATAGTTCATGATAAATCTGATTTTAATTTTTACAAAAGAGGGTAAATAAATCTGATTTACATCCCTAGCGGATTTGTTGACATCGTTTTTCTGAATATCTACAACATTTGAATTTTATTTCTTCATCCAACCAAAGGCTTCTTCTTTTGGTAACCCGACTTTAGAATTTTTATCTTATTTTCTTCTTCATCCTATTGACTGTGTGGTAATTAGTTTGCATCTTTTTCGATCATGGCTTATATGTAATTTCATTTTGTTAAATTATGTGTTTCATTAATATATACCAAAGATTTAAATTTTGTGTATAACAATTATTTCATTTTAGATGTTAAAGGACATGTTAGTGAAGGAGCTGATTTGAGAGAACTAAGCAAAAATGGATGGAGCCACAAGCTATTGGAAGTCGGCCTTCGAGACTTACTGTTTATATGCATTGTATATATATTTTATTTATTATTTTTCATTTTTATCTCTTAAATATTATTTTAAATATTATTTTAGATTTTTATCCCCGAACTAGCCATGAATATATCTAATGCACAACCAATTAAATCTCCCAAGTTTTATTTTTTGATGATAAAATACAAATTATCATATTCCCAAAGACAGACGATTCCCAAAGACTTCCGACTCTCAACAGTTTCAACTTTTCTCTTCCACTTCAACAAGTTTGTGTTTTGTCTTCTTATTTATATCCAACCTCTCAGCTTCTCCACCCCAGGTTTATCTCTCACCGTTTCTACCAAATGTTTGTGGCTTCATAAAAGGTTACATATCTTGCAATTTGTTTTCTCTTCATAGTTCATGATAAATCTGATTTTAATTTTTACAAAAGAGGGTAAATAAATCTGATTTACATCCCTAGCGGATTTGTTGACATCGTTTTTCTGAATATCTACAACATTTGAATTTTATTTCTTCATCCAACCAAAGGCTTCTTCTTTTGGTAACCCGACTTTAGAATTTTTATCTTATTTTCTTCTTCATCCTATTGACTGTGTGGTAATTAGTTTGCATCTTTTTCGATCATGGCTTATATGTAATTTCATTTTGTTAAATTATGTGTTTCATTAATATATACCAAAGATTTAAATTTTGTGTATAACAATTATTTCATTTTAGATGTTAAAGGACATGTTAGTGAAGGAGCTGATTTGAGAGAACTAAGCAAAAATGGATGGAGCCACAAGCTATTGGAAGTCGGCCTTCGAGACTTACTGTTTGTATGCATTATTTAATTTATTGTTTATATTTATTTTTGTTTCTTAATTTTCCAGTTGTTAATTCCAGTGGCAAAAGGTAGTGGAGAAGGGCTTAATTACGATGCAAGATGTATAGATGGCCTTTACGTTGTTATGTTGTTGATAGTTTAGTTT